CAAACAACCAAATAACATAAACATAATGAAGAATATAGAGAATGTGTATCTATGATATGAGCATAGATCACGAGTTGATTTGAAATCGATAAACTATTTGATGTAAGTAATAATAATAATAATAAAATAACATTAGAGACATTAGACTTAAGACTGTGTTGACATCATGGTGATAAGGTTCTATTTGAATATTGAGTTGGAATTAAATTATTAGAGATTTTAACTTTGATTATCATAATACACAACTGATAATGATGGTTATTAAAAATTTTTAAGTTCTGAAAGTGATAGTGTCTGATTGGAACATCGAGAATTCATTAAAATATGTCTGTTTGGACAGTATCATAGTGTGAAAAACACAAAAAGTGTTTATAATTGACATTATTATTATTATTATTATTATCATCACCATCATCATTACAGTCATCATGTTTTCTAAAACTAAATTCAAAAATGATAACAGTGACTGATGATGACAATTTGAGTAAGCAACAAAAACTGACATTGAATTCAAGGAAAACAATTCATCATTGACAAGAATGAAACATTTCAGAGGTTTACATTTCTTTAATTCTTTTGAAAATAGTGAGATGAATTTATGGAGAAAACAGTAATAGTTATGATTATTATTATTATCAATGTACATTGAAGTTATTCATTATCAGTAAACTTAGTGGAAAAGTTTACATAGTGAGAAGACATCATTTCAGTCGAGTGATTAGATGTAATTAGATAAATTGACTCATTTTTATTTTTACAATCAACTACTAGTTAACGTCAAAGTATAAGACGTTTGTAGTTTCGTTGTTTAGTTCAGTGGTCTGTGTATGGGTGTATATATGTGAACACTCCACTGGTGACACTCAACTGTTGTCTTCTTCTAATGAATATATTTATAATAAATGAATATTCCCCTGATGATATGATACGTCTAGTCGTTAATGCTTCTAAATATTTGTTTGATTGCAGAGATTTTCTCATGCATGAAAATATGAATATAGTAGTGAGATGGTTTTCTTAACTTTCGTTTCCACAGTTGTTGTCATAGCTACGTGTGAGAATAAGTTAAGACTTCAACTTTGTATGTGGAATAGTCGATTGTTGTTTGTTGTATCTAGTTTCCATTGGTATGACCGATTTTGTTTACCATGTGAATAATTCACTATGTCGCCCATCGGTCAGTTATTTAACATTAAATGGTTTTAAATAAGTGTGTTGTTGGAGTATGTATGTTGTTTCCTACTCATGCTTAAAGTCAATCACTGTTTGACATACAAACCATCTTATTTCCATTTTCAATATCCAACGTGGTGAACGTTGCTGAACACTTATTTTCCTATCTGAACAACTACTATATTTAGGATCAGTGAACTAATGCAATTAGTAACTGATATGAATTTGAATGTTTTTTCCTTATGACAGTTGGAGGACAATGAAACATATTTTCCCCAATTTCAGAATATTCGACATCTGACTACATACAATGTGTTTCAGTTCAGTTTTAAAGCAGATCGAATTTTATCGATCAAGTCGCAATGTGGTTACTGGTTTAGGTGTTTTGATTTCGTGGGAACTATGTTGAGATGTATAGTCGTGGATCGAGGTAGCCTACAGGAATCCTTGGTTTAATGTTATTTAATACTTGTGAGCAGGGATTACGTTTTATGTTTAGGGAAATGATGATCCCCAGATTATTCTATCCCTTATCCGGTGCATTACAAGTGCTAAAATGTTACGTTACCTAGATTACCTCCAAAATTCAGCTAAAAATTGAATTCTATTGTTGATATTTATACTAAGACTTTTATTAGTTTTCAATGATTATTCATTTTAAAATATTAAGTAAGTGTGAGATATTATATATTCAATTTGGAATAAAGTATTTGTTGGGATATTCAGGAAAATATCCCAGAAATTATCCTATTAAGCCTAATGCTATTCTTGGACTTGGACATGGTATTATTTTCTTATTGGTCAGTACTTGTTTCACGGGTCATTTTTCTACTGGTCAATATTGTACAATGTTATTTTCTATTTTATGGTACGTTGTGGTCTGCTTGACTGGTATATAAACAAAGTATGTTTGAAATATAATGATTCATATATCCGAGGCTGTGACTTGCGTTCTGGACTCAACTGCTGGGCTAGATAGGGAAGCGGGACCAATCAGAGCCCTAGGTCGTTCTACGTGTTTGCGCGTCTTTGGTCCGATCAATAATTCGCTCCCCTCTAATCTGCTGTCACAGTTATAACAGTATTATAATAAATATCCATCAATCGTTTCTTTGTTAAATAATCAGTTCCAACTATTCTTCTTTTCTGATAATAATTTGAAGATAATTTACTGATATAGATAATCTTTATAATGGCTGAGATTGTGAAATACTCTAGAATGTACGTAAACTTTCCTTCTAGAAAATATCATGTTGTCACCAATGAATAACTTGGTGATATTCCATCCATATTTTGTTAGATTTGTAATCGACTATAAACAGATCCTGAATTAAAAAGGAACTATAATCTGTGAATAAAAATTATAGACAGAATGTTTATGAAATTCATTGGATATAACATATTTATATTTTAATTAATAAAGATATTTAATGTTTATGACTCAATATTGTTTCATATTTATTATGTAAGATAAGGGAAATTATTGAAATAGATTTATCCATATTCTATTTATATTCATTATTTTATGATTGATTTTTACAATCCTCAATCTATTTGACAACCCTATTCCCAGATAGATGTAAGTTAAGTTAGCAAAACTATTTAAAGTATAAATATCTAGTTGTTGTTTTGTTTTTTGATGAAAGATCTAACAATGAAAGTAATCACAATCTTTGTAATTTATCTTATAATCTAACAAACTTAAGAATAAAATTGTAACTTAAGAGATATTTTATGAGCTGTTCTTATTTTGTTTCCTTAAAACATTTTATATTATCAAAAGGGGGTTTGTGGAGAATTTAGTCATTTCATCAGTGAGTTCATGAATCAATTAAAGCTAGATCACTATGGAAAACGTGAAAGCACTAGACGGCGGTTTTGTCATAGTATGAGGCTTCTTGACCGTCGGATTCGAACCCAGGACCATTGGATGCCAGCTCAGTGGTCTACAACTTTAGCTTTAGTGCGCGAGGTCGATAGGTTCTGGGTTCGAATCTGACATGGGGATCGTGGATGCTCACTGCTGGGAAGTCCCATACTATAACAAAACGGTCGTCTAGTGCTTCATTTCATTTGAACAAATAAATGTTGTTACAAAGGGGCACCGACTGCAAGTATGCCACACAAACCACTTGATTTGTGTGTGGGCTGTGATACTACCCGGGTGCCCAAACCAAAGCAGGTGGTTTTCTTAGGTCTGATTCACAAGGCAGTGGAGCAACGTTAGGGGACGCAGTCCCATGGTAGCTGGTGACCAAATATTGGTTCATCCGCCATTTGTTTGCTCAGGATACTGGAGCCCATGTGCACCATTGATTTCGAATGAGGGTTTTCCAACTCCTCTAGGTCGACTTTTCATATCCACCAACCTGGTTAAAGCGTCAGACATTCGCTTTACATCCTCTCAATGTCGTAAATTATACCCTCGTCACGAGAAGCCATTGAGCATTTTGAGTGTAAGAGATGGCTCTCCCTCTCCACGCTCGACCATAGCAGAGCACTTGGCAGCTAGATTTTTCATGGTGGTCTAGCTCTCATTGACTCATGAACTTAACTATGTCACTTTGTATTATATTATATGATTATACTCACAAATTTATGAGGTATTTCTTTCATGTAATATTAAGATATTTAAAATTATCAGAAGGGGTTTGTGGAGATTTTAGAAATTTCATTGATTGAAATCGTCAGTCAATTGAAGCTAAACCACCATGGAAAACCTGGAAGCACTAGGCGGCCGTTTCGTCCTATTGCGGGACTTCTCAGTAGTGCGCATCCACGATTCTGCAACCCGTGAGATTCAAACCCAGGATCCATCGATCTCGCGCCAGGCGTTTGATCATTAAACCGCCGAACTGGCCGGCATCCAACGGCGTTAATGCCTAACTTCAACCAATCCACGAAGTTGCGCCACCGTACACCATTGTCTTCAGTGAGCTGATATCTCACTACACAGCTGGTAGAACTCCACTGGTAATGGCTTCTCAGTAGAACTCCAGGAGTATCGCTTGAAGTCATTCACTAGTGAACAGATGATTATTATCAGAAAGGGTTTTGTGAAGATTTTCTAGGTTTTCCATGATGGTCTAGCTTCAATTGACTCATGATTTCAATTGGTGATATTTATAATTATTTTTCAGATTCATTTTGATTTTATATTGCAAAGATTAATTCATTGGTGGAATTCTATTGAATTTCATGGGAAAAATTTCTATAAATATAATTAGAATTGTTCATTTTGAATACAAATAATTTGATCGGTTAATCTATATAAAGTTTCATATATAACTTGAATTCTTTTATCTTTTATGTATCTATGCTAATGATTAACATATATATTCATAAATATTATTTGTCAATCTATCAATTTCTATGCATGTATGCACGTATGTATGTATGTATGTATGTATGTATGTATGAATGTGTGTCTGTATGTATGTGTGTGTGTGTATCTATTTGTTTATACAGACAGATGAATAGATAACAGACTTAAAAATAAAAATTATTATTATCATTATGATTTAACTATTTAACACTTGACTATTAAATAGTTTCAGATTCACTTAGTTACTGTGTGTGGATAATTCATTTATCTTTAATTACAAATTAAATTTTATTTTTCGAAAAAAAGAAAAAAAACATTGTAATTTTATTAGGTTACTGTGATTGTATTGATCGTGTTCAATATATAAAATATATATGTGTATGTATCTATGACAACATACTTCTCCCTGCATTGTGCATCCTTTCAACAACAACAAAAAAATAAAGCGGATTTTTAAAAAAGTGAAAAACAATATAGATCATTAAAAGAAAATGTTTTTGTTTTTTTTAAAAAAGAACTAATATCGTCATTTAAACAATTCAAATACATAAATGTGAATTTTCTATTAAATGATTCCTTTTTATTAAATGACTATGAAACAAGGTAAATCAGTATTTGTAAGTAGTAAATTTCGTATGTTGAAACGTACGCATACAATGCATGTTGGATATACTGGACCGATGAATGAACCATCTGTAAGCTGATTTTATTTCCATAGTTATTATATATACATAATATTTGATCTGATTACGTAATAAAAATGATTATTATCTAAAGAAAGATTAGTTCAGCGAAGAGTTCTCTTGTCGGCAAATTCATTTTCAAATATTGATCAGTAGTATTATCATCCTGTAAAAATAAGTATATATATATATTTGTGATTGTACAGTTTTGAAAGTAAACTCGCCGGAAAGAGAACTCTTCACTGAACTAATCTTTCTTATTTAATGTCTTAATGGATGTATTCCGTTTATTATCTAAAGAGCTATAAATATTGATCATTTTTTCATGGATGATGTAAGTTATCTTTTAATAACTAATACCATGATTACAATCTATTCGCCATTCTACAGTGTATTAAATGTAAGTAGATGATGAAGACAAGAAAAATAATCCCTTTTTTTCATTATAACACGTATGGAACTGCATAGCATCTTAATGTAAAATTTGAAATAATGAATGGGTGAATTATATTTTCATTGAAAACTTATCTTGTTCTTTATTTAATATTTAAGATTACAATTTTTATATAAAATAATTTTAACAGTGATTTTCATTTATAAAATTACTGTCAGTATGGGGTTGTGAAGATTGTTAAGTTTTTACTTGATGCAGAGGGGCCTAGGTTCGAATCTTGTGAGCGGGATTATGAAAAGTCTCATACTATGACGAAACGATCATCTAGTGCTTCTAAGATTTTAATGGTGGACTAATATTAATTTATTTATAATTTCAATCTAAAACTTAACAATCTTCACAACCACATAATGATAATAACCATTATATACTGACTAATGACTCGATTCAAGATGATTTCTTGGAGTTCTAGTGAGAAGCTGTGATCAGTGGAGTTCAATCCGTGTGGGATAGATGCAGATATCTATTTCAAACAATGGTTGTGCAGTCATTTATAAAATTACTAACTATTAACTCAATAATAGTGTATTTATTATGTTTATATTAGTATAAGTATTTTAAATATGTTTATTAATGTTTACGCATAGTATAGCCACAACTCTATTCATCTAGATGATAGATTTTTTTTTCCATTTTTTTTCTTTTATTATAAACAACACCATCATAAGTACATAATAAATAGAACTAATTCCTTTCGAAGTTTACACTGTTTTAACACAGTTATTAGTTTATATAAGTAACCAATAGTTTCCTTTTATTGTTTTTATCGATTTTTTCCCTCAATCATTTTCATCAGTATGCATATATATATATACGTTAATGAGTAGTATGACATGGCAGATTTTAGTTTCTTTATCTTAATTTTATGTTTAAAGTTAAGCATATTGAAATCTGTATAATTAAACATATAATTAAGGATTATTAAACTGTACAAATTAGATGGAAAGATCACATTTAAACAATTTTAAACGACATTTTTCTTAAAAAAAATACACTAAGAACGTTGTTATTTCAGAGTCTAGTATTTCCAAGTTTTTTCTCTAATGATCTAACTGTAATGATCTAACTTTTGAACTCAATTAGTTCAATGTTTTGTCATAACAATCATAACAGATAGAGATTGTTCATATTTGTAGTTATTAGTTATTATGATCTTATATCCTCTCTAATGAAATTACATTGTAATCATGAAAGTTCCATTGAATTCTAATACGTTTCATAATAAGACAAAAGAAATTTGTCACTATTAAAGATTTGAATGAATCTTACCAAAAAATAATGTAGATGTTTAAAGTTAAAAAATAGAATTTCTCTAATGAAGAATTGTGGATCATTTGTATTTATATATATAAATGAATGAATTAGAGTTTCTCATTGGATACTTGAATGAAAATCAATCGAAATAATAGAATTACATGTAAAAATAAAGCGATTTGCTTAAATATCTGAGCTACTTGTTTCTACCATCGAAATATTTGTTTGTTTGAATAGATCATTATGTTCATTTATTGTATAATCTATTCAAGTGTGTTTGTGAGAAAGTGTACAATCTTTCATTGTAAAAAGTTATAAAAGATCAAATAAGAGATATTGTGGTTAATGGCAATATTCAACGAAAATGAATGTATCTTATTTCAATGTCAATTTACTGAACTGCTAACTTCTAACTGATGATCACTTAATATTTATTGTCAACATTGATAAAGAAATAACAAACGGAAACTTGTTGAAATACTTTGCGCTGAGGATTCTATATTGTACCTAAAAGATATAATATTGAATAAAGCTAATAATAATAAATAATGATTCAGACGAAATGTAAATTATAACGAATAATATGTATTTTAACACAGTAAAATATCTTAAAAACTCTTAGAAAATATACCAGTATAAGCAAAGATGGACGGCAGCTAGAAGTTAAATACAGGAGGCGCGTTTTGTCCTGTTCGGAATACGTCAGCTAGGTGAACCTGTATCCCAGAGTTAGTGTTCACACCGGGAATTGAACATAACATCGTTCGTTTCAAACGCCATCGCGTTATCCACTTAGCTACAAGTCCTAAATAGGACAAAACGCGCGTCATGGATTCCATTGCTAGCCACTATCCATCTTTGCTTATAAAGCTTGTGACTTAAGGCAGTATGGATGAAATCCTCACAACATACATATATGATAATAAGAGACTGACCAGTTGTCATCCTAGACAACAATGGGCAGATACAAGCAAACAATACCAAGTGAATTTAAATATACAGACAATTGATTTTATTTACTATTACAACGTGTGACTAAATACGGAGAATATTCGTCTGATCGCATCTATGTTATTGAATTGACCTGTGTAAAACAGAAAAACTCCTCTCTTAAAACGCTTTGAATATTTTAAAGTTGTTGTTATATTCTAGAATTCCTAACATAATACGCATCAATATAGAACTACTGCGGTTATGATTGAAACTAGTCAATAAATCTCAAAATAGAATCCGTTACATATGTGCATCTGTTCAAGTTGTCATACTCCATCAGCACAGAGGGATGAAATTCTCCTGTAAAATGCCAGAATAGTAGAGGTAGTAACAACATCAGTGATGATCACAAACATTAGGCGTCAGAGATACAATTCCAGAAAATATAACTTAATTAAATAAAAACTTAATAAATCTTATGAGAGATTCAAGAGCTTATTATTTAGAGAACGACAAAGGATGGATACATCTGTTTAATTGCAAATGATTTCGGGCCATGTCATTGAACGTGTCCAACAATTGGTTACGATAATCACACAGACCCCTACCAGATAATCTACATCTACTAACATGATTCACTTCAGTGTTCGATAACTTTATAGAATGGTTTCATGTTTCGATTTAACTTACCTTAGTTTCTTCCCAGTGTACTCCCACATCAGACAACCTTACCCGTTTAGGTGAGCAGTGTTTGACCATACGTAACACATGTTCCAGTGGTAGCTGTCAAACGATCAATAAATTCTTATCTCTAAATGACAAGCTACTATTTAAATCTTTAAAATTAGATCGTAATTAATAGTTTTATGTGAATTAATATTTCACAAAAATCATGCTTTAATATACCGAAAAATAATCGAAATAACATGTTGTTAGAGTACGGTAAGTATTAGTGATTTCATTTACATAACTTCATATTTGAATCAGAAATTATCATTTTAATAGTTAAATTTGAGTCAATTAAAGCTAAACCACCATGAAAACCTGGAAGCACTGGAATACCGTTTCGTCCTAGTATGAAACTCTTCTAGAAGTTAAGCGTTCGCGCGAGACCGACAGAACATGGGTTCGAACCCCGCGACCGGGTTTGTGGATGCACATTACTGAAGAGTCCCATATTAAGACGAAACTACTGTCCAGTGCTTTCAGATTTTCTATGATGGTCTAGCTTCAATTGAATTGTAAATTCAACTAATAATTTTTTAAAACCTCCACAAAACCCTCTTCTGATCACTCCCTTTTCCACTAAACCCCTGAAAGTTTCAATCAATTCGCATTTAGTTAACAGTAGTTCGGTTAATATTAGACATGGATTTCTCTCACATTGTATAGAATAAATGTAAATATTAATTTTCTTTTCGATATAACATTTAGTCATCTTTTCTTTGCTGTTGATTTAACCTTCAATCTTTCAAAAATAGTTGATAATGAAGTTATACACAGATTAAAACAAGAAAATAATGGTTCATCATTTTCCTGATTAAACTTATTACTTACAAGTTATATATATATATATATATATGTCATTATATCTTAGTTCTTACTTCGGTGAATAAATAACGTTACAAGTAATGTAATTCATGAAAGTAGCTAATAGTTTGTCGTCATATGAATGCCTATCGACAATATAAAGAAATGTGTTCATTGGTCAGATCATAGAAACAAACTAGAAAAACCTTAAATAAATAAATTGAACAGTTTTATCGATCTAATTTGTTATTATTATGAGTATAGCTCACTTATGATTAACTATGGGATTAAAGTTAGGTTCTTCAAATCTACATATAAACACTACATTACTTTAAATATGCCGTTTGAAATCAGTATTTAAGTCGGTTATTTTTTCTAATACAACCTACCTAAATCACCTTACCTTCTTAGAAATATCTTGATCTCATAATAATAATAATAATAATAATAATAATAATAATAATAATAATAATAATAATAATAATAATAATAATAATAATAATAATAATAATAAATACGAATATTCGTCAAGATTAGAACGAAAAGTTTGACAGAAATTGGGCACCGAGTAAAGCGAAGTCATTATATGTGAAATTTATATTTGGAATAATCTCAGTGATTGAAATTCAAAATAATTCCAACGTTTCGTCCAGCTAACTTGTCTGAACTTCTTCAGGGTAATAAGCAAAATCAAAATCATTAAAGAAATATGTAGCCTTTTAATAATCATAACTTAAAAAGCTATATATTTCTTTGATTTTGCTTATTACTCTGAAGAAGTTCAGACAAGTTAGCTGGACGAAACGTTGGAATTATTTTGAATTTCAATCGCTGAGATTATTCCAAATATTAATTTCGTATATAATGAATAATAATAATGGTAATGGTAATAAAAATAGTTTGTTTAGCAGTTCACTAAATATAATATAATTTTACAAGCTATATGACAGATTATATGAAATTATTATTATTATTATGATACATTTTAGAGTTTATCCATCAAGAAATCAAAGACATTGCATGTTTTGTAGGGAGCTCCTCCTTTTTAAATCTCTTAATCACTAAAGATTCGGTTGGTCAGTCAGTTAGCTACAACATAGGACCAGGCACATATATATTCATCGATCCAAGTTGTCATACCTCATTAAAGATTACTTCTACTGATGTCTTGATCTCGTAAAATTATAAAAAGGGTAATTTTATCACTGTTCAGTATGTCCATTTCAAATAGCTAATTAAAAAAATAAGCGCTTAATTTTTTTCATTTTAGAATCTATTTGTCGGCTTCACCGTTGCCATGGAGATTAATATATCTAGTAGACTATCCGATAAATTGGTCAACGATTTGATTAGCATCTCTTTTCTCTGATTCAAACTAAATCGACATATTGTATTTAATTGATCTATAGTATCCTATAATTATCTTGATATTATATAATTATAATTAACTGTGTAATTCAGATAATTGATTTGCAAAACACTTTGGTGTACGTAATCTTATTTTATTATTTTTACATTAAACTATGAGCATACTTGCATAGTGAATTTAAAATTGAATGGTATTTAACTGAAAACAATATTGTTCACTAATATGTGGTAGCGAATATTGAAAATAAAATCCACTTTATATTGGTTATTCCGACTGACGTTAAGGACTGCAACTGATTAGTCTTTTATTAGCATATGTACATCCTGTGAGAATTACCTCGAGATCGTATCAAGTCATAAATATTCTAAACAGATGTGTATGGTCGTTAGTAATGGAAAACAAGACGCGCGTTTGGTCCTATATAGTACACATCACTTATATGTACCTAGACCGTGGATTTGACCATCGCTTCGGGACACAAACCTAAAAACGCTCATTTAAAACGCCATTGCGTTATCCACTCAGCTAATGAGTTTAGAAAGCTACTAGCTCGTGAAATATGATAAAGCTTAATACATTTGTACTGATCGTTTGAATGATTTCATTGGCGTTTAGAACTGCAATTAATCAATCTCTTATTAGCACATGTGCATCCTGTGAGGAATGCTTGAATTTCACTGCTAAAAATCATCCATATCTAGTCGCGTGGTTTATTGGACTAATCAAAAATTCAACTGATAAGTTTATTGTAATCACTGTTGTCATGGATTAAGATAAATACAATCTTGAATTGTTTACATATCATAAGGGAAACTGTCATTAGTGACAAACTACTAATAGTTTCCCAATTAACAAACTTCAGTTAATAAATATAAGACAGACAAACTGAAAATATATGAAAGCGAATAATTTTAAGCCTAGCTGATAAAGTACACAATTGATGATTTTGATAAGATGTGCATAACACCACATAATGTGATTGGTAATAAAAACAATTCATGTCATCTAATAACATGATAAATTTTTGATTGAAAACATGAGTTGATGTATGTTAAACCACCATTGGAAACCTGGAAGCAATGAATGGTCATTTCTCCCTAGTATGGGGCTCTTCAGTAGTGCTCATCCACGCTCCCACACACGTTTAAAATGTAGACCACTGAGCCATCATCTAACGTTGTTAATGCGTAACTCCAACTAATCTACGAGATTGCGCCACCATCTTTTACTGTCTGAGTTAGATACCTGTCTCTACCTGACACATACTGAGCTCCATTGGCCACGGCTTCTCACTAGAAATCCAAGAACTCCCTCAACAAGTTAGTCACTAGTGAGCACATTGTAATTATCAGCATAGAGTTGTGGAGATTAAGTTCTTGATTGAGATCATGAATTTATCGATGTTAGTCCACCGTTGAAAACTTGAAAGCACTGGACGGTCATTTCGTCCTAGTATGAGGCTCTTCAGCAGTGTGCATCAACAATCCAGTACACAGGGTTCGAACACAGGTCCTTCGGTTTCAATCATAAACTTAACAATCTCCACAACCCTAGAATGATATTATGATCAACTAATAAATTTTCAAAGTAAAGGGAGATTATTATTGTTATTATTATTTCACTTATGATCCATTCCATTTTTTTTAAAAAGATCTAGAAATAATAACAAGGAATTCCATCAAACACTTGAACGGATATTAATGGTAATATAATTGTATTAATGAAATATGTCCAAATAGAAGATTGTGAACTGTTTAATAATTTTGTTATATTATATGATTAGAATATATTCATATAATGCATCTATATTAACATATATGCATAAGTAATGAAGTAGGACCAGGCACATATATGCATCGGTCCAAGTTGCCATACGGCATTAGCACAACAAGATGAACACCAGATTTATAGGAGTAGTTAAGTCAATGGTGGTAATATATAAAAGAAAGATTGCATATAAGGATATAATACAGGAAGAAAGAATTAGTTCGTAGAAAGAAAGATATGAAGTAAATTTAATCTCAGAGTTCAAATGAAAACAGAGAGTGTATACACCTATGCCATTGTGATCCATTCTGAGCCATGTCACTAAGGGTCTCTAACCATTGGTTACGATAGTCACGCCCCAACGAAATAGTCTGCATCTCCCAACATGGTTCAGACTAGAAGTTAGTGACTTGAGAAACTGATGACACATTTTGTCTTGGCCGCCCCTAACTTTCTTCCAACCACCGATAACACTAGTCAGCGATGCGTGTCGTGGTAATATTCTTTGTTTAATTGGATTATAAATCAGTTTTCGATGAGAAATATTACGAAAATTACAATTGTTATGTTATGTTATGTTTTACTTTAATGAAATACAAACATGTAATTTACAATAATTAAACGTAGTTTTAAAATGTATAGAGTACTTATGTAGCTCTTTATTAATATTTTAAAGATTACTTTCAAATATCACATGGAATCGATATGATAGAACATGAAAGTGAACATTTATTCCATCTTGAAAGAGTAGTGCCTTCAAAATATACGTCCATAACTGAGTTGCAATATATATATATATATATACGGTTTAGAATTATGATTGTTATCAGAATGGGTTTTGTGGAAATTTTAGAAATTTCACTGGATGAAATCATGAGTCATTTGAAGCTAGATCACCATGGAAAACCTGGAAGCACTAGGCGGCCGTTTCGTCCTAGTGTGGGACTCCTCAGCAGTACGTATCCACGATCCTGCCCACCCTCGCGAGATTAGAACCCAGGATCTATCAGTATCACGTGAAAGCGCTTAACCATTAGACCACTGAACTGGCCGACATTCAACGGTGTTAATGTCTAATTTCAACCGATCAGCGAAATTACACCACCGTAAACCACTGTATTTAGTTAGTTGATATCTCACAACAGACCTGGTTGAACTCTAATGGTCACTGTTTCTCACTAGAATTGTAGGATATACCACTTGAAGCCAGTCACTAGTGAGCATATGAATATGAGCATAAAAATACATAATACATACAATAATCTATACAATTAAATTATTTAAATTAAAAGTCGTGATGAAATAGTGAGTTAAGCATCGATTTAATTCATTTAAAATCACAAATGTCTAGTAAAATGATAGATAGTTCATTTCTTAGGTAACTAAATTTGGTTTACTTTTTTTCTCTTGGTTTCTAAATGAAAATAAATTAATAATTATTTCAATAGTTAAGATCATGATTCAATTGAAGCACTGGATGACTGTATCGTTCTATTTTGTAATTCCTCAATAGTGCACGTCCACGATCCTGGTCCCTGAATGATTGGTACCCAAAACCTATTGATCTCACGCGCTAGCGCCTAACCACTAAATCACTGAGTCGTGATGAAATATTGATTTAAGCATTAATTTAATTCATTTAAAATCACAAATGTCTAGTAAAATGATAGATAGTTCATTTCTTAGGTAACTAAATTTGGTCTCCAACAAAAAAAAAAAATAAAAAATTAATTATTTATTGAAAAAAAAGACGGATAAACATTTTTTTTCATAGAAAATTATTCACCCATAACTTCGAATTTTTATGCTTAAAACGTATTCGAACAAAAATGTTACAGTTTACGATCAATAACAAAATTATTAAAGGTAACAAAATGTTTGTTCATTATCACTTGAGCACACACTTGCAAGTTCAGTTTAGTCAGTCAGTTAGTCGCATACAACGTTGGACAAAGTATATATATATGAATCGGCCCAAGCTGCCATACATTATAAGCTAAGCATGATGAATTCTGAATTCATAGAAGTAGTTCATCCAGTGATGGTGGTCTCATACTCAAGTGCCTATAACCTATAGACCACTGAGCTGGTCGACATCTAACGGTGTATATAAATTACTTCCTTGTTTAATAATTCAATCATCATACGTTCCAGATAAAGATCTTCTATGTTGAATCATGTGAATGATAGAATCCTTCATATTTTTACTTTGAAAATATATGAATTCATTATCAAGAAAGTATACAGTCAACATTGATACACTTTTGAAATCTGTTTGTTATGTATTTGTGTGTGTGTGTGTGTCTGTGTCTGAAGTTTTGTTGTTTGTTGTACCGGTATATTTATTATTTATGAAAATTCTTTATTTTTGTAAAAGTACAAATTCCGTATGGAAATGTGAACACAGTTAATAAAAAGGGTTATAATATTAGATTACGTAATATGAATAATAATAATAATAACCATAGATTTAGTGATTATAATAAGATGATTAAAATGTTTTTTTGTTATAATAATTAAAGGTCAATAGAGGTGTAAAAATAAATAAATATGGTGATATGATGAGTATTCATCAATCGAACAATCAGAATATAAGATATAAGTAAAGGGAAGAATACAGTAATAATAATAATAATAATAATAATAATAATAATAATAATAATAATAATAATAATAATAATTGGATAATCAAAATACCGAAGGCCAAGGTAACGATAACGATAAGACGTACTTCTTTTGTACGCATAGTTCTGGTTTAAGCTCCTGAATGGTAAGATCTTCGGCTATTTTTAAAAGTTCGATGCGAAGAAATCTGGGTAGATTTGAACAAATCATATAAACAAACTTAAATTCATTTCTTGGATCTGTGGAATGCTTACAGTCGATTAGGTGTTCAAGTATAGAACTCTTAACTGCTTTCGTTTTCCCCTTATAGAACCAAGCTGGAATATGTTCCCGTATCCGAGTTGGAAGCGAGCGCTTGCTACGGCCAATGTACCTTGCTCCACAAGAGCAGGTGAACTGGTCGATACACATTGAGGCGACCAGACGCGAAAGCTTGTCTTTTATGGATACGGAAAATAATTTCCTACTCGTGAAGTTTATTCGCAATTTAGCTGCATTAAATGTTCTTCCAATAGTTGTTGTTAGACGATTTTTGATTACTTCTGATGTTCGATCACCTTTAAATTCCAGACTTATATAAAGGTTTTTCTTCGTAACGGAGCAACTAGGTTTCTTATCACAACTACTCCTATTCATATTATTTTCTATGAACCGTTCTGGGTATCCATTCTCCGTCAGAGTTTTCTTGAGGAATTCAAGTTCTTCGTTAATGCATTCCGTACTGCATATCTGACGTATTCGATAACATAAAGGGTGGATGAGATTTCTCTTTCTACTTAACGGAACCCAGCTATAGAAGTTAGTTAGCTGTCCATTCCATGTTTGTTTTCTGAAGATTGATCGTTTTAAAGAACCATTACTCCTTCTCATCAGACGTACATTGAGAAAAGGAATTGATTGGTCCCGTCCTCTTTCTAACGTGAAGTCTATAGAAGGGTGGCATGAGTTAAAGGTGTTTAAAATATCCTCTAAATCAATATCATTGTCACAAACGATAAACGTGTCGTCCATATATCTAACGTATAGGTGAAATTGACTGATCATCGAGCTTAGTTGGTCGTTTTCTAATTTTGCCATGAAGCAGTCTCCTAAAATCGGA